CAGAGCAAACTAATTTATACAGTAGCCAAATTATTTGCTCACAGCTTTAATGACAGTAGCTCACAAAGTAGAATTTTTGCTCACAAGACTCCACAGCTTAGAGGGAGCATTGGTCCTCACATACACACTTGCTGAGTGGAAGAACAGCTATTACTAGGTTTTCGGTCCCAATAGTTCTTGGTGTGGTACGAAAACTCTTTTACGCGGTCTAACCCAATTTAGCCTGCATAGTACCTCTTACACCACGTCTTGTTAAACTTCAGAGTTGAACATTTTGAAAATGTGTGTTGCCTGCTACTTGAACAAATTTTGCGTCCAGTGGCACCTTCGAGACCAACAAAGGTTTATTCAAGATAGGAGCTTTCGTGTGCACGCACACTTCTTCAGATACAATGACATGGAAGTAGAAATAACAGTCATACATTTAGAGGGTGGGCAGTAAATTAGCACACAAAATAATGAAGATGTTTTTTAACAGATTAAAAGAATAACAAGCTTATCTTATATGGCTATCATCTGTTTGGCTTCAACTTCTGGGGGGAAACATAGCAAGGAAATAAATACACTCATACCTTGAATGAACCTTTTTTGGTCTTAAAGGTGCCATCGGACGCAAAATTTGTTCTACTGCTTCAGACCAACGTGGCTGCCCACCTGGATTTGTTTGTCACGTTAGAGTAGTCAATCTGTTCTACATGTAAATATCTTTGTAATAAACCTGAAACATTTTTGTGTGATGTCTTTATTATTTAGAAGTATAAGCATGGCAGTTCTGGACAGACACATAATGGGCTTCTCTCCACTGTGCTAAACTGCCCCCTTAACAAACAAACAAAATTGCCCCCTTAACAAAAAGAAAATCTGGCTGTGGGCCTCGGTAGGTGACATGAAAGACCCATATCTGAGACCCTAGAGAATAGTGATTGTAATCGATCAATGATCTGATTCAGTATAAGGCAACTTTGTATGCTTATATGAATGGGTGAGAGAAGACGCGAAGGCTGCTGCATCTTCTGCTTAACTACAACTCCAGATTGCCACCTGGCAAGCCTAGTTTGGTTGCTGTGGTTGAGACAGGGAAATGACAGCAGCAACTGATCTTTAGGGCGCTGGGCATGCCCTGTCCTGAGACTACAGGCTATTGAAGAACATCTTGACATATGCTTTGATACGTTTCTTTATGCGAGAGCTTCTGCATTTGCAAGTGGAAACTTCCCCTCCTTCTGAAGTGCTAGAGCTTTTGCTGCTTCTGGAACTGGAGCTTGAACTGGAGCTTGAACTGGATTCGCTTAGTTTGCTGCTGGTTCCAAAACTCTCTGCTGTTCCCCCTCCTTCAGGGACACTTCTTCTGAAACTTGCTGTTCTTCCATCAAAACTGCTATGTCCAGGACTTTGGATGCTCTTGTTCCTCACAGCTACAAATAAGAAAGGAGAGGGGACTTGTGACCCTAAATGGGATGACAACCACATTCCAGGCACACCCTCAGGGCTGCCAGGGTGCCACAGACTGGCTGGTGAACAATTCTTTGAGCCTTGGCCCCAAGGAAGCCTGAGATCAGGACCCACAAAAAATGCAAGTAGATCATAAAACAGAACATCAAATGTGTGAACCATACCCCTATAATGATCTACAGTAGTTACATCAAAATTTCTAAAAGTGAACCTGGCCCCACCTGCGGAGACTTAAATCTATGGACTGAGACCAGGTGGAGAGAAGGGATATTTGCAGAAAATTCTAGAAACTTACGCAGAATGGGGGGGGGGTTAATCCCTCACCCCAAAGGAACCTCTCTCTGTGCTTCCACAAAACGGCCGCTGCCAACGCCAGCCCTGCCATCACTGCCTCTCCTCAGCATCCTCTGAGATTGTGAAGCAGTGGCACTGAGCATGGGAAAGCCAATGGGGGCACACTGTGGGCAGGACAGGAGGAAGAACTACTGCTGGCACCAATGCCAACCCTGCCATTGTAGCCTCTCCTCAGCAGTCTCTGAGGCAGCAGCACTGCAAGCAGGGGAGGAGGAGCTGGCAGCAGCACAATGGGTGGGGGAGAGCGAACCTCTGCTCGCCATGGTGCCAGGAGAGGAGCTGCCCTGCCCACTGTCCCCTGTCCCCACCTCCTGCCAATTTATCTGCCATGTCCCCTTGCTTGCAGTGGCGTGAGGAGGAAACAGAGACCGTTCAGGTAGTTGGGTCCCAAGTAACAGGAGAAAAGGGGGGGAAGTAATGGGGGGGTGGAGAAAGAGAGAGATAAAATGAGAAAGAGTGACAGTAGAAACAGGAAAAGAGAGAAAAAGACAGACAGAGAGAGGGAGGGAGGGAGGGAGGGAGAGAGAGAAGCCATTTCCACAGTAGTGAAATTCCCCACATTGACGCTTTTAAAGCTGACCGTTATATTACATTTTCCGCAGTAGATTTTTCCTCATCAGGTGCAAACCTGAAGTTTTCTCCTTCTTACTCTGCATTTTTGGGAATCCCCAGTTTTAGCGTGTTCTGCAAATGCAGGGTAAGAAGGAGAAAACTTCGGGTTTGTGCCTGGTGAGGAAAAATCTACTCTGGAAAATTTCACATAACGTGCCCTTTTAGAAACGTCAATGCGGGGAATTTCACTACCTGCGGAAGAGTGACAATAGGCTTGGAGAAGGGAGAAAGAAGGACAGAGAGAGTGAGACTAGGCAATGGGGGGAGGGAGAATGAGTAGTGAGACAGGCAGAGCAGGGGTGGGAGAAAGGGGAAGGAGGAAAACAAGATGAGATGGCCACTCTTACAAGTGCCTGCGGATCCCTGCTTCTGTTATTATATTCTACTACAGAATCTAGGCAATGAAATAAAGGAGCTTTCCTCTGGGCAGGGACTCCCATTTTGCCCTGTTAATAATGCCCTCTTCCCACCAGTACGGGTCAATATAATTGTTACTTACTTACAACCCCTGGAATCCCAGCACATGACCTATTGGGAAGAGAAAGGCATCTTACTAAGCCATGCAGATGAGTAGAGAGAGGCTTTCCTCAGGACGATCCCCCCCACCTCGATCTTGAATGCACTCCCTGATCCATTTTTCCTTCCCTTCCAATGCAGTTTGTGGCTCAGTCTGCTTGTGGAAGACATCAGCCATAGTTTGGCCTGTATGAGTCCTTCTCTGCCAGTGGCATATCTTGGCCTTGCTGGTCCTGATAAACTGGAAGCGTATTTGGTCCCAACTTTTTTATCTCCTCTTTCTAGGAGTGCAGCAGTGACCAGGTGGGGTTCAAAGAGTTAAGATTAGGGCTGTAGCTGCACTGGGTACCTGAGGGTACATTGGCCCGGCTACACTGCTGATTCACACATACACACCCAAGAATTGTTTTTGAGAAACTGGCTTTTTTACTTGTGATATAGGCTTGCCAAGTCCCCCCGGGGGGTGGGGAAACCCCCGCCCCAGAGGCCCATTACCCGCCGCCGGCGGATCGGGCCCCGGAGGGAACCCCACCCCCACAGCACGTGACGTGCACATCGCCCAGAGGTGACGTGATCGCGTTGGGTGTGTTGGGGGCGGGGCCACGGTCATCCAAGGGAAAACTCTATGGTTTTACCTCGGAGGGTTGTGGCCCCGCCCCCAGCGTGCCCGGCATGGTCACGTCACTTCCAGGCGACGGGGTTGTGGCGCGCGCGCACTCTTGGAGCGGCGCTGGAGTCCCCCGCTCTAGCGCCAATCCGACTTGGCAATCCTAGATATTACAGCTTCCGTTTCTTTATTAGTTTAGATAACTGACATCTATACTGTGCTTCTCTCCCCATCAGGGACTCAAAGCAGCACCCCCCACCCTCCATTTTACCCTGTGAGGTAGCTTAGCCTGAAGGTGTGTGAAAGGTTACCCAGCAACCTCCCACTGTGGAATGGGACTTCAAACTTGGATCTCCCAGATCCTAGTCTGACACTCTAACTGCTAGACCATGCTGTCTCTCTGAAGACCAGCAGCTTATTTTTAGAATAATATAGGGTGAGTGATGACAGGTGCCTCCTTCCCAAGTAGTTGTGTTACCGACTCCACCCATGTCACCCACTAAATTCTGCCTTTCCGAAATTCCCCTGGCTTTGGAATGGATTTTTCAAGATCTTGTTTCATTAGAGAATGTATATGCCCCCTTCGAGGTGGCCTACAAATAACAACAAAGATCTGAACCTTAACTATTCTTTAGTGCGGAAAAATATCCTCTGTCAGCTATGATGACACTGAGCACAACCAGGTGCTTAGGCAACTTGAAGAAACTGTTATCGATTTAATGAAAGTGGCTGTAGTCAGGAGGTAAATGCACCCAAACATAAAAATACCTGTAACGATGCTGCATTTTTGCTAGTTTGTTCATTTTTAGCAATTTTGTGCTACTTTATCTTTTCATCGCGTTTCCTTTGTAAGCCACCTAAGCAGTTTAGAGAGGTGGCACAGAAATCTTTCATGTAAACAATTCAAGCTGTACGTTTCTGACACAAACAATTCATCAATGTCAAAATTCACAAAAAATACTCAGAGTTTAGCAACAGGATTATAGATATTTCTATTAGTTACGAGGAAATGGATGACTTTCTATTCATTTCTTTGAATGGCCCCCTCTGGAGTTCTGTGCAATGCATCCGGGCAGGGGGACAGGGTACATCAATGATACACACAAACACGCACACTGGATTGAACACAGGGATACGCCTTATAATGAATCTATCTAACTCTGCATTACCAATTCTGACTGGCAACACACTCCAAAGTCAGATGCAGAGAAAGGCCTTTCACAACACTTTGTATCAGAGATCCTTTGACTGGAAATGTCAGGAACTGAACCAGGAACCTTCTGCGTGAAAAGCATATTCTCTAACATTAAGCCATAGCTCCGCTCCATTACTTTATATTGTTTCATTGCCATTTTGTTATCCTTGTGGCTGCTTCTTAGTGCTATTTTCCATCCATGCCCTCAATAAAAAGCCTTCAGTTTCATTTTGTCACACTGCCATTTAATATTTTGGAACTGACCCATGAGATTTTTGCTGATAAGCATCTATGGTGTTAAATGGTGTAGCTGCAATGCCATCTCCAAAGTCACCTAGGCCATCAATGGCCACATAGAATTCAATTGCTGTCTGGGCAAACGAGGCAAGGGACCCTGAGGGCAAACAAGAGCATGGGTCCAAAAAGAACATCATTAAAACAATCCAGATATGTTTGCAACATGGCCTGAAATTACTTAATAGAGGAGGTGCTTCTTGACACTTACAAATGTTGTACATTAAATGATGCATATAATTTTTGGCCAGTCCCTGAGGTTATATACATTTTCTCTACTGGTATAATTTATATGAGTCACCAGACTGTATTTATTTAAGAGGGTTTTTTTATACTGTTTTTCACAGTCGAAGACCTTCTCAAAGCAGCTAACCAAAATTTTAAAATCACAGACACTAAGTCGCACAGTTCAATGTTTTTGATATAGAATTTGGACTGTCTGAGAGCAGAAATTTACCTTATGTCGTGCAAAGTACACATAGTCAATGGATCTGTACCAGTTCCTACCATCTAAGGCTGCGATCACACACACTATATAATCCACTTTCAATCCACTTTCAATGCACTTTCGAATTGGATTTTGCCAGATCACACAGTAAAAATCCAGTTGGAAAGTGCATTGAAAGTGGATTATTTAGTGTGTGTGACAGCAGCCTAAGAGTCTCCTGATCTTATCAGCCACATGTACAAATAAAACAGATTTTTTTAAAAATCACTCAAGCACCTGCTTTCCTCTCCTTCCAGAAGTTTCTGGTACACTGTAATCTCCATATCCATGGTCAGTTTAATATTCATCAACTCCTGATGCTCTTTCAGTATGTAAGCCAGCTCTTTCTTCTCTGTTAGCAGGGCTACCTTAAGCCTGTCCAGTTTTTCCTGAGCATCCTCAAGGGCACGTTCACCTCTCTGCTTTGCTTCACAAATGGCCACTTGTAGTCTTGCAACCTACAAAAGAAAAAGAGTTCAAGTTCCCTTCCAATTTCTCAGTAGTGCAACCCAACATAGTCATCAGGTGCTTTGAATGATGGGATGGCTCCAGCAACCTGTCAGCAGAAGATGCTGACGACTGTGGGCCTTTTCCATATTCCCCTCTCCCCAGTAGTCCTTTCTGACCCAGAGGAGAGGGGAAAGGGATGAGATCGCCCTTTTTTGCCACTTCTACCAACACAGCTTCAGTGATGGAAGGTGGAGGAGATGGCAGCCTCCTGACTTGCATAGCTGTTTCTTCACATGGGTCCTGTAACCCAAGGAATGTGGGAAGGCTCTGCGATCTTTGCTGGATCCAGCCAGCTAGATCCATTAACTGTAAATTGTGCAAAGGATTACCGTGTTATGGAGTGATCAAAAGCTCCACTGGAGGCAGGCTTAGCCACCCTCTGAGAATAACACCACAGGTGATGTCCTTCAAGCTGGGTCAATGAGAACATCAGTTATGGTGGACAAGCTTCCCAGAAAGAATATCAAACATAATCTATAGAATAATGGAGCCACATTCAGTGCTTTCATTAGCAGATGAAGTCTTCCTTGAAGCAGTTTTGGTGGTGAAACCTCATCTCCAGTAGATTTAGAGTTTAGTGACCCCTTATGAAATTGTCGAGCTACTGTTTCTGCCTTGCACACTCAAGTCCATCTTAACTAATCTTGCCATCTATATAGTCTCTTGACTGGATAGTAAAGATCTCTATGGAATGAAGATTCAGCCATATTCTTCTTGTAGTCTTTTCTGCACCACCCCATAGATACAGTAAGATCCTGGCTACGTATCATGTGAAAAGTTCAGAATCCTTAACAGTCAGAGCCAAGTTTACACATGGCTGCTTTTCACTCAGTATCCATAGCGTATAGCAAGGACCTTAAAAGATCCTTCCAAGATCCAAAAGGAAAAGTTTCAGCTGCAAGTTGTGTTCCTTATTACTTCTCACCTATCTTTCCCTCAGGAGGCTTCCAACACAACTGATCACCCTTTCTGAAGAGTTACTGCTCTACATGGGCAGATATTGAAGAGGGCTATGGTGCAGTGGTAGAGCATCTGCTTGGTATGCAGAAGGTCCCAAGTTCAGTCCCCCGCATCAGTTAAAGGTATCAGGTAGTAGGTGATGTGAAAGACTTCTACCTAAGAGCCAAGCAATGGGTAGGAACAGACAGGATTGGGACAACTCACAGCTTTAATGCCATTTTAATGAGAATTTAGGAGTTCAAAAATTGCCATGAGGGCCCAGTCCCACGGCATGGCAGCATCATGTGATCTTGTGTCCTCCCCATGCCTTTTCAAGTGCCAAAATGGGGGGGGGGGCTGTTTCAGCACTTGAAAAAGCATGAGGGAACAACATCTCACAGTGCCACCATGCCGTGAGCCAATGCGGCGATTTTTAAACTGCTAAATCTTCATCTAAGATGGCATCGGTGGCCAAGGGGTGCCTCGTGCCTGCCTGTAATGTGTAGTTTGGCTCTAAGACCCTGGAGAGCTGCTGCCAATTTGAGTATGCAGTATTGATCTTATAGGATCAAAAGGTAAGGCAGCTTCATGTCTTCATGTTCCCCTTGTTCCATACCTGCTTCTTCATGTAATCGATCTCAGGCCGAACTCTCTGGACCTGATGGAGCAGCTGATTGCTTTCTTGCTTGACCTCGTGCAGAGCATCTCCCTGACATCCCGCATTATCTTTCAGGTCTTCATACTGATTGATTGATTGATTGATTGATTTAAAAACATTTGCATGCCCACCTTTCTCCTGAGCAACTCAGGACTCAAGACATGTCACAACAATATAAAAACAATATAGAAACAATTTAACATGAAAATGACAAGCATAAAATACATCAAAACCACATTAAAACATTAAAAACATTGGACAATCTCATTAAGGGGACCTTTTACAGTTCACAGTGCAACTTTTAGTGGGTGGTCTGCTATGAATGACCAGAACCATATGTGACTGTCTGAAGATCACATATAGAATTCTTAATAGTCATTACCTGGCTACTTATCACACAGTAAGAATAATGGGTAACTACATTTTTCAAAATGATTAATCTCAGGGTGAATGATTCAGCTGATTCAGTTGCGACCAGGTGGTAACTGGTCTCCTTCCTTGGCTGGAGAAAAATGTCACAACACAAAGAAATTAATTCCAGAAAGCAACCCTGACATGTCCTGGTCTAAATATTATGCTTACCACAAGGAGCATGCTTATTTTTTTTCCAAATGACACTACTTGCATTTTTGGCATGGTTTTTTTTTTTTTGGTAAAAAAATTTTTTTTTTTCAGGAATACAACATATAAAATTAAATCATTTCGTTCTATCAATTGTCTACCCCGTTCCCAATTCCTCCCCTCCCTCCGGTGGCTTCCCGCAATGCTTCTCCCCCTGCTCCAAATTGCTTCATATCATCAGCTATATCAATTTCTTATCGTTACGGTCTAAAGATAACATCATTTGACTTAATATTGATCTAAACATATTAAGTTTTGTTTCACATCCCAGTTCTTTTCCACATTTTTGGCATGTTGAGTTAGTAGCTTGCCAGTATGAGAATACACCTCAAGAACTCCATTAAGCCTCCGTGTTTTTGTGTTGTTGTGGGTTTTTGCCTGTGGCATTTTGAACATTTGGATTATGCACAGAGGGGACAGTGATCTCATATATCTGCCCAACCACTGTGTTCTGATTTCAAACCATCTAAAAGACTGGAGACTGTCTGGCTTTCTGTATGTCTATGGTTCACCTTCAAAATATTGGTTTGGGATATATTTTCTATGACTTCTGCTAAAAAGTTAGCTAAAACTCATGGGATATGAAATTTTCAGAGCTTCTAGAGAGAGTAAGAAAGGAGCACTCTGTGATGGATTTTTTTTTTAAATCCTTTATACCGTGCAATACATATTATTCTCTGGAACAATCAACATACATGGCAAGTCCCCTTACCACAACATCTCATCATCATCAACTGGGAATGTGCTATGTGTAACATTTAAACCAGACACTGTTGTTATTTGCTAAGATTTCCCTACTTTTGAGAGCTCACCTTTTGCTGAAGCTCAGCCTCCACCTTAGCTTTGGCTTCCTGGGCAAGTTGGTAATAGTGGCATTCATATTCTGCTATAATGTGGTCGGCATTCAGCTCTCGGCTGTTGTCCATCGAGATGATGACAGAAGTGTGCTGTGCAATGGACTGCATCTGGTTTTGCTCCTGCAAAAGACATTGCATTTAGCCCAATGTGTCATTGGAATTGGTTCAACATGCCATAAAAGAAGTGCTGAGACTGGGAAATAGCCTACTCCTCTGCTATACATGTACACCCACAGCCAGCATTTTACAGTGAGTTTTCTATGCCACTAAAAGTCCAAGTATGTACTCTCAGGTTATAGGAGTCCCACCAAAATCATTAGAATGTAAGAGGTGTGTGGTTGGACCAAATCAGTGGTCCATCTAATTCAACAGGAGCACATATGGCCTGTGCTGAAAGCGCTGCACTGGCTGCCAATAGCATACCAGATTCGCTTCAAAGTGCTGGTTCTTACCTTTAAAGCCCTATATGGCCAGGGTCCGACATACCTAAGGGACCGCCTTTCCCCATATGTTCCCCCAAGGGCACTACGGTCGGGACACAACATCACCTGGTGATGCCAGGCCCCAAAGATGCCAGGTTTGCTGTAAACAGGGCCAGGGCTTTTTTGGTGGTGGCTCCTACCTGGTGGAATGAGCTCCCAGACATTATTATTTATAATACCGCGTTGAACCCATACCACTGAATTGAGACTAACATTCCCAGGAGGCCATGGAACTGGGACTACCATCCCCAGGATACCATCTTGTGATTGAAGTTTTTTGTAACATCTAGAGCACTTTATGTTGTTGTAAATGTTGGTTTTATCTTGTTTTTACTGTTTTAACTATTGGCATATGTTGCCCTATTTGTGAGCCACCCTGAGCCCACTTGTGGGGAGGGAGGGCTATAAATTTGAATGAAATAAACAAACAAACATCCTGTTTCACACAGGATGCTGGCTAACCAGTCATCCTGAGATATCAACAAACCAAGGCAGAGAGGCCAAGCCATTCCTCTCATGTTGCCTCCTCGTGCTGGTATTCAGAGTTTTACTGCTTCTGGATGCAGGGGTTCCTATAATATTCATGTGGCTAGAAGCCATTGATGGACCTACTCTTTATGAATCTGTTTAATCCCCCTTTAAAGTCCCATAAATGTTTGGAACTAGGCATGAGTTCATAGTTTACTAAGTGCATTGTGTGTTTTCAACTTCAGCCTGGAACGGTTGGTCCAGTCTAGCGCCACAGTTTGCTTCATGTGTTGATAGGGTTGCCACCCTCCAGATGGAGCCTGAAGTTCTCCCAGAATTACAATTGATTTCCAGACAACAGACATCAGTTTCCCTAGAGAAAATGGCAGCTTTGGAGGGCAGACTCTATGACACACATCCCTGCAGTGCTCCCTCCCCAAACTCTGCCCACTCTTCCCTCGAATCTCCAGGAATTTTCCATCCATTGGTCAACCCTACCACCATTTCACAGAGACACTGCCTTCAGTGGATCTTATGCATCCATTCACTTAAGCAAGATCTGCTAAGGTTGCAGTCACACACGCCAGATAAAGCAAGGGGGGGAGCGAGGCTATTTCCTCCGGAGGAATTTGGCCCGCAGTTGTGAGATCACACCTCCCTTTGAAGCTGCAGGTGCAGCCCGTCAGTGTGTGATTAGACACAACTGCAGGTGAGTCTCTCTTTTTTGCCATTTGTTTCCCATGAGCGTAACGAGGAATTGATGAATCACACCTCCGCACTGAGGGCTCCCTATGGAGTTTGCGATGATGCGCATACTGAGAAGGGGGGGGGACAACAGCACAGAGTCCGATGGCCTGATCAGAACATCCCGAGGGCATGAGAGTGCGCTGGAGCGATCAAACAGGGGAAAGTCCGTCCGTGGCCTGTTGCAACCTGTTTACTACCGGATTTCCCCCGGTGTCTTTTAATTCTGCTTCTGCAGCGGAGCAGAACGGTTTGCCGATGACTGCAGGACACTTCCCAGATGTTGCTGTCTGATTGCTCCCTTTAAATCCGCCTGGCATTCACACCTATGTCGGGTCTAACTGTGTGTATGATCGCAGTCTAAGTCTTCCTTCAACAAAAAAGACTTTGTCCAATGGAACATCTGATGAAGCAAAGTCTTTTTTTGTTGAAGAAAGTCTTTCTCTGTTGGAGGAAGGGAATCATAGGATTAAAGCCAGTGTCTGCAGCAGTATAGGTTGAGTGATGCTACACTGGTAGTACAGACATGAAGTGATGTCATCATTGTTCCACACTAATGCTAGAGCAGAGGTGTCAGACTCATTTGTTATGAGGGCCAGATCTGACATAAATGCCACTGCAATGGGCCAAAAAATGTAATGCCATGTATGGGAGATATAAACTTCATAAAGGACACAGGCAAAGCCAATTAACAATATTTTTAACTCATAATACAAACATGCTTAAAACATTAATAAAAAGGTAAAGGTTCCCTTGCTTGAAAGCCAGTCGAATCAGACTCTAGGGTTGCGGTGCTCATCTCCATTTCAAAGCTGAAGAGCCAGCGCTGTCCGAAGACGTTTCCGTGGTCATGTGGCCGGCATGACTAAACACCAAGGCGCACGGAATGCTGTTACCTTCCCACCGAAGCGGTACCTATTTATCTACTTGCAATTTCTTGCTTTCGAACTGCTAGGTTGGCAGGAGCTGGAACTAGAGATGGGAGCTCACTCCGTCATGCGGCACCCTCGGGTCTCGAACTGCTGAACTACCGACCTTCCACAGCCCGCAGTTCAGCGTCTTAACCACTTGAGCCACCGCAGCTCCTAAAACATTAATACTCTTACAGTATTTCCTTAAAGTATCTCCCTGATGCCCACCCTCCCATTTCCACCTCCCCTTACTCATTAGCAATGGGACAGTATACAGGGACACAATGTATAGCTTCTGTCATCTGGCAATAAAGGTAATGACCAGTTGCTCATGGGCTGGATAAGAGCCCTGGATGGACCAGTTCCGGCCTGCAGGCCGTATGCTTGGCACCCCTGTGCTAGAGGTTCTGCACAGATGCAATAAGGTCTTTTTAGCTCTGACTATCTCTGAGAACGGTGCCATGGGAAGGAGAGGATCCCCAGTGCTCTTTGGGAGGGTACAATTCAGGCCTCCTCTCACCCCTTCCTTGGTGGCGATCACATCCAACATAACTTTGCTAATTTCCAGTAAGTCAGTCCACTGCAGTGAACTACTTTCCAATGCATTGGAAAGGCTTTAAAGAAACAAAGTAACAAACACAAGAACAAACAGTACAAACTGATAAATACAAATAAAAGTCAACAATCTTACAGCACATTATTCTTCAAAAGTAATTTGTGTAATTTCTCTAATGTTAAAGTTGGCATTGGTAATATATAGCATTCACCATAACATGTCAAACAAAACAAATAGTTGAATATTGTTCTGAAATCTAGTATTTGAATAATCAATAAGTAAAACCCATCCCTTTTAAAATATGTTTAGACATAAAAGATGTTGGCTCACCTTCCTTCTGGACTGGCAGGTCTATGTAGTCTTAAACCTGTACTGCCTGGAGCTGCCTGGGGTGACAAGATATCAGCCAACCCTGCTCCTGTCCTTGTCCATTGACATAGTCCATTGCCTTTGACCAAGACCCTGAGCATGATTTCCATGTCTTTCATCCCATCCTTTCCTCCTTCCTCCCCTTCTGTTCCCACTATCTACATTTAAAACATTTGGGGCAGGGACCTGCTGAGGTTATTCTGTAAAGCACCATTTATGTGAAAAGCATGATAATGATGATACTGATACCCATCAGAGATGCTGTTCACCTGAGCTCCATGAATGGTGGCTGCTCACCTGCTCAAGTACCTCCATGAAGAAGGCAATTTGGCTCTGCAGGGCTTCCACTTCGGCTTCCAACTGAGTTTTACATAGGTAGGCAAAGTCCACATCCTTTTAAAAAATGGAAGAGAAAGATACCAAGAATGGATTAACCTCTTCAAAAGGATCACCAGCAAGTGCAGGGCTAGTGTGTCTTTTGGAGGTGGGTGGGTGGGTGGTGTTGCAGCTCAGTTGGTAGAATTAATTAATTATCATATGGCATTGTGCATAGAATAGCCAGGAGATCCTAAGATTGTCTGGCAGCTGCAAGTTCTAGCTCTTAGCGTTGTGCTAGTGGAGAGCTAGGGGCTGAGAGAGTTCTGAGAGAACTGTGACTGGCCCAAGGTCACTCCGCTGGCTTCATTGTGGAGGAGTGGGGAATCAAAACCGGTTCTCCAGATTAGAGTCCACCACTATACCAAACTGGTAGAGCACATGCTTTGCACTTGCAGTTCAGGGTCAGCCCTTTACTCATTGCTACATAGGAATGAGAACACAAAAGGAAATGTTAAGGGGGACTTCCGGTTTACGGCGATACGCTGGCGGATGCATCTCCCGGATCTCCCAGGGATGTGATCTGTGCACCAGCGGAAAGGAGGGGGGGTGACAGGTTGCTACCACCACCACCTCGGAGCCTTGGCAAAAGGCTCCCAGCCATGGGGCTTTTGAGGGGCGACCTCTTCACCAGTGCGACACTGGGGAATTGAGGCGCTCCTCCACCCCGATGGTCCTGCCGCTGAGTGTCCGTATGGATCTAGAGCCACTGACTGGGACAAGCGTCGGAGATCGAGTGTTTTGAATGTGTTCTGAGTGAGGTCATATGACCAAAAATGAACAGTGAGTCGGGTTAAAGTGAATATGAGAATTTAAAAAGAAAGCTACCCCCTGGGAACAGCAAGAAAAGCGAGCGGGGGAGGAGCTCCTCCCATGCGAATGAACTAAACAACGAAATACTAAGGGGGGAGCGGAAGAAAAAGCATTGAAATCTGTTTTGAGAGACTTATCAGAGCATGGTTAAGCGTATGGGCATATTTCAGAGACTTTAGCAAGTTTTCATAAAAGTAAACAATCCATAAAGATGGAAGGGAAGAGGGCAGAGAAAAACAAACCAGCAAAAGTGAAACCAGCCGGGATATTGAGCCCTCAACTGGAAGAGGTCACTGAGTTCTCCAAAATGTTGGCAAATTCCTTGCGCCCTCTGCTGGACTAGATGACTAACATCAAACAACAGCTGACGACTCTAAACCAGAATCTTGCAACTCAGCAGCTCCAACTGACTGAGACTTTAAAAATAACAAAGCAAACGGCTGAGAAAGTGAAGGAAATGGACGGCAACATTAAAAAGGTCAAGAAAAAGGTGCAAAAGCTAGAAAAGAAACAAGCTTCAGAAGAATCACAACTTTTACAGCTGCAAATGGAGAAAGCAAATTTGGTCCTACGGTTTCAAGGGGTCCAAGAATTAAAACGTGAGAATCTAAAGCAACTTCTGAGTGAAGCATTAGCCCCAGTTACAGATTTGAAAGCGGAGTATCTTGCAAGCAAAATGGATGTGGTCCATAGGTCCTATTCTGTGTACATCAAAAAGAATAATCTGCCTGGAGAAAGAGTGGCCAGATTCTCAAAGCGACATGTGAGGAATTCTATCCTGAAAGCAACTACAGGAACACCCTTGAAAATCGGGGACAATACTATCAGGATTCTAAAAGACATTCCATTTGAAATAAGACAAAAAAGAAAGAAATATAAAGACTTAATCCTTTTTCTACAAACAAACAGCATTGTTTACAGATGGTTAATTCCAGAAGACGTCATTTTCAAACTACACGATAAAAAAGAAAAGATTGACTCTGTTTCCAAAGCACGCACGTTCCTGAGAGTGCAGCTGGGAGAGACAGCCGAGGTTGAGAAGGAAGAAGATGACAGCAAATCCAGTGGCGAATTGGACTCGGTGTCTTCTGACGAGGACTCTCTTTCCGATAAGGGGGCAGCTGCCCCCAAGCGTACATATAAATTGAGGATTAGAAAAGATAAGACAAAATGAAGGCTGAAGGACTCTGAATTGTGCCTTAAAACTACAGTTTTATTATGGGATGCTCTGGGGATTCTCTTAAACAGTTAAAACATTGGATAAAAAAATTAGCATAACCGACTATGTTCAAAGTAATACTAGCAATTTAAGATTAACATTTATATAAGCTATTGTTCTAATCTTCTATACTTGGGTTTTAGTTAGTAGTGGTTTTCTTTCCTTTCTCCCTAGATGTAGTTACCCCTTCCCAATTTTTCGTTGTAGTTTGTAGTCTATTAAAAATGCAATAAAAAATCCCCTCCGGGGGGCCTAAAAAAAAAAAGGAAATGTTAAGGGGAAGTGTGCACCATGACAGATGGGGCAGAACCTATAGCAAAGCACATATCTTGCATAAAGTTCCATTCCTGTCACCTGCAGTTGAAGGATCTCAGCCTGAGCTTAGAGAGCTGCTGCCAGTCACAATAAGCAACTCAGAGGTAGATGGACCAAGGAGCTGCCCTTGTATAAGACGGCTTCATGTTGCGGTCTTTTACAGCATATGGCAACCATTCCCCCCTCCCCCGACACTTTTCTCGGGTGTTTTAGGAATAGTATCATATGTACAAAGAGGGGAATCGTGACTTTACAGTAACCTATGTAACTTTCCCTTTAAGGTATTTTATATGTAAAATAAAAAGGGACCACCTTGCCCCACATGTTCCCCCAAGAGCTCTTTGGCCGGGGACCCAAAATTTGTTGGTCATCCCGGGTCCCAAGGATGTGAAGCTAGCTGTGACCAGGGCCAGGGCTTCTTGGTGGCGGCTCCTACCTGGTGTAACGAGCTCCCGGGGGAGATCCGGGCCCTGCGGGACCTTGTGCAGTTCCGCAGGGCCTGTAAGACGGAACTCTTCCACCAGGCCTTTGAGTAGGAGCCGCCCCCCCCCCCATTATATCACCACCATCAAGGTATCTTAAAGGATGTATCGACGAGGCCGGAGGAAGAACCTGGACACTATTGAAGATCTGACAAGCCGTCGCCATTGGACACGTATAATATGGGAGTACCATCTGGAACTGCGGTGTTACCATCTTGGATGTAGGATATTAGTAATGGATTGAGTACTGTGGTTTTAGTGTTGGATGTTTTACTATGTTTTATATGTTTTTACCAATGGCATGGCAAATGACCTTGCCCTTGTTAGCCGCCCTGATCCCATTGGGGAGGGCGGGATACAAATATGAAAATAAATAAATAAATAAATAAATAAATAAGGTATTTTATATGTAGTCTGGCCTAGGGTTGCCAGCCCTCCAGCTGCAAGGCCAAGGAGCTTTTGAGGGAGTTGGAGCATGGGGTGGGGGAGCAAAGCAGACACTATGGTAAAGACTGCAGAGGTTGGGGCAATTCCTAGAGCATCATGGGGGGTGACATAATTCCCCCACACACACACACACACTTTTTCTACCACTGTTCACTTGAACGAGTGTAAGCAAATGAGTCTGGGGGTAACTGCGGTGCATTACTGGTTAGGATTTAATGCTGTCCAGAGTACCCTTTAAGAAGGGTGTTACAGATCCTGTACTTAAAGGCTTACTGCATTTACGTTTCAGTTGTGGTTGTAACCTGTTATATTTCAGATTTATGATAAATTATGCTACTGTGTGCTATCTTTGGGTATTCTTTCTTGAAGCAATTTTATAATTGACTGACAAAGCCAGGTGCTTTTCTCTCAGGAATGCTTAGGTATCAAAAATGAAAATAATCAGGGAGGCTAAACTATAGAATGGGGGAAGGTTCAGACCCCTCCCCCATGTCTATGCATCCCTTTGGCCCTTTCAATTGCATCTGCAGTCCCTGAAACAGGCAATTTAGACATGAATAACGCAGACCCAGTTTTACACACATGGATCTGTTGCTACTAGGTTTGCAAACCACCCAGAAAGAACATCCTTTCCCTTTAACAGAGGCTTAATGGAGTATCTATCTCTGTGCCTTGAAAAGCTTCAACTTCCCTTTTCCACACATTAAGCCTCTAGTTTTTTTAAAAATATATATATTTTTATCCAGTTTGTTGGCAACTATATTTGCTATGATGTGTCACTTCGCCTACTAAAGTGTTTGGGGTTTTTCCTAACCTAACAGGCCTCCATGTCATTAAATTAATAGAGCCAGTTGTGGCCCCTACAAGGGAATGTCTCTAAATAAAGGACTTCATTATCGTTGGGAACTCCATGGTTGTGCAAAGATCACTGGATATTGTACTATCATTGTGCTACTAGCACTTGATTTTGCTGATTGTATAAAGCAGGTGGGCCAAAAGCAGACCACCTAGAAGATGCTTGAAGGTGACTTGGACCATGGTCATTACCAGGAACCCTGCAAAATGCTGGACTGGCTAGACCTCGATCTGATCTAGCAAAGTACTTCTTGTGTTCCTAAGAAACAAAGCATATGAGCCTGGATCCCAGGGATTCTTGCTTCTAAAGAAGTGAATTACAAATAGGGTTGCCAATCCCCAGTTGGGGGCAGGGGATCCCCTGGTTTGGAGGCCCTCCCATGGCTTCAGGGTTACCAGAAAGTGGGGGGGGGGGATGTCTGGTGGGTACTCCATTATACCCTATGGAGACCGGTCCCCATAGTGTATAATGGAGAATTGATTGGTGGGTATCTGGGGCTTGGGGAGGGGGCTGCTTTTTGAGGTATAGGCACCACATTTTCAGCATAGCATCTAATGCCTCTCCTCGAAAATTCCCCCAAGTTTCAAAAAGATTGGACCAGGGGGTCCAATTCTATAAGCCCCAAAATAAGGTGCCCCCATCCTCCATTATTCCCAAAGGATGGAAGGCATTTAAAAGGAACATGGTCCTTTTGAATGTGATGGCCAGAACTCCCTTTGGATCTTAATCATGCTTCTTCCCTCCCCTCTCCCAGAAGGATGTCACATCCTCATTCCTGGCTCCACCCCCAAAGTCTCCTGGCTCCACCCCCAAAGTCTCCTGGCTCCACCCCCAAAGTCCCAAGATTTTTCCTGAATTGGACCTGGTAACCCTAATTACAAAAGATCAGCCTGATCTCTAGTGAAAACTGGGCCAACCCAGATCTTACCCAAGCTATTAATTGAAGGCTTTTAATCCAAATTTATATTTTGTTCACTTTCTTCTACCCATGTGGTTTACAGGAAGGAAACAGAAGAGAATCTCATACTTCCATGTTTGAAAAACCCCACACCAAAATATAAAAGAAGCTTTGTCTTGGACCTTCTTGAGCACTACAAACTGGTTCTCAGCATATATGCGGCTGTTGATTTCATCTTCATACCTTACGAAAATAAAAAGAGAGAAAAATGAGGGGGGGGGTCTTAGTTTTAAGCTGGCTTGACTAATCATTGCAGCTGAGCTAAAAGAACACGAGGTGCTTCTCACCATTTTTGTTTCTTAAAGCAATCCTTGTTTGGCCCACATTTTAAAAAAAATCACAGAGCAAGTGACACAAAGACAGATGGTCTCCAACATGCCAGAAGCATCCTTTTAAAATATTCTGAATCTCAATTGTAATTCATTGAATTGAAATTAAAATTCAAATAAATACAAGATCAAACATGATTATTGGGCTATTTAACCAATATTGCTCATTTCTGAAATTTTTATCCCATGGTTTAGCCCGGAGGGTTCTTTCAGTAGGTCATGATCATTAAAAAGATAAAAACATACTGTACTGCATGTGCTTTTTGTGTACTGTATGTACATGGGGTTTTTTTCCATTTGCAACTGTGGTGATATTCTTACACCTGCTGCCTGTTCGGCACACTTATCCTCAGGCATGCGTGTGTGGTTTTCTGGGGACTGGGGTGTCAGAATGGTTCTGGAAAAGAGGCTGGCCCCCTCCCACAACCACACACACCCTTACTGATGGAGGTCCAAAGATCCAGCTGGAGAGAAAGGAGGGACTGCTGCACCCCTCCTTGCCAGCTGCACTGGGCTCAAACTGGCATGGAGTGAAGCCTGTTGCCACTGTACCCATTCTTCTCTCACCAGCTGCACAGGGCCCAGGAGAAGCTGAAGGCCACCATACTCCTCCTTGGCTGGCTTCTCCAGGCTTGGGTCACCACCAGTGTTCCCTCCAAGCTGAGTTAATGTGAGCTAGCTCACAGTTTTATAGACTCTGGCTCACACATTGTCTTAGGTCAGGTAGGATGGCTCCAGAGCAAACTAATTGATGCAGTAGCCGAATCGCTCAGTCACAACTTTAATGCCAGTAGCTCACAAAGTAGATTTTTTTGCTCACAAGACTCCACAGTTTAGAGGGAGCCTTGGTCAGCACAAGGCCAAGTGGGGTGTCCCTGTGCCCTTGTTCCTCTTCATGGCCACACAGGGCCCAGACCAGCATGGGAGAAGCTGGGCACTTCTACACTGCTTTTTGTAAACCATACCATGCCCAGGCCAGCCAAGTAAAGATGGGTGCCACTGTGCCCACAATCTTTCTTGCTGGGGGTAAGGGGAGACATTCCGGGATTTTTCCTGGTAAAGTCAATGGCCAATCCCTTCCTTTGAATTTTCATATCAAGAACAGAAAATCACAAATCTTTGAGATGTGGCAGTGGTCTTCCCAGTAACTTTTGACAATTAATTCCACAACTTAATTACACATTACATGAGGAAATCTGTGTCTGTCTTGAACCAAAAGCAGATAACTTCATTGGATGCTTTGAGAAACAGAATTTCTCTGCTCAATGTCTGCATGCTATTCATACAAATATAAACTTCTGTCACCTCATCTCATTGTTTTAGTTACTCTTCTCTGCTTTTCTCTAAGTATATAACCTTTTTTGAGATGTAATGTTCAGAAGAACTGCACACGGACTTATAAATGCAGATGCCCCAGATAAACATCACCATGTTTATTACTTAATGACTGCATCTGCAAATAGGCCATTTCAGAAACAACACCACAGATGCACAATTTTGGAAGACTGAGAAAGTACCAGAAATCGAAGACTGGATACAAAAAGTTCTGTTCATGGCAGAAATGGATAAAATTACAAAGAAGTTGAATAATCAAGAAGACAACGTGTTTTTTCAAGAATGGAATGACTTTAAAATATATCTGGAAAAGAACTGGGATGTAAAACAAAACTTAATATGTTTAGATCAATATTAAGTCAAATGATGTTATCTTGTGGTTGGATGATAACAAATGATGTGTTAATGATATAATGAAATTTGTAAGAAGGGGGAGAAGGGGGAGAAGCATTGCGGGAAGCCACTGGAGGGAGGGGAGGAAGGGAATGAGGTAAACAATGGACTGAATGATTTAATCTTATATGTTAAGTTCCTAAGAAAATAAAAATTTGTTTACCAAAAAAAAAAGAAACAACACCACAGAGAGAACTTAATTTCCCTTCAAACATGTTTTCCCACTGAATCGTACACTCAGTGTACAGAAGTCAAGTACAGAGAAATCTACATGCATGTATGAACCAGCCCTATCTCTTTACCTGTTTCCATTTTGTTCCTGATCCTACCAGCTCATATCATTCATGCTCAAGAGTCTTTGGAAAATATTAATAGAGGTCCATGTGAGGAATAAAAAAGAACTAGCTTTGAAAAATGCTTCAGTTGCCTCAAGTCCTCATGCCTTGTCTGAGAAATGTGCATGGCTGGGAGCAACCGGAATAATCAAGAATCCAAAACAGATATTTGCTTTTTGCCTTACTTTTCTCTGTAGTCTTCAACATTGAACTCCAAGCACCGAAGCGCAGACTGCAGCTGTCCTTTCTGGCTTTTCATATGCTCAATTTGCTTTTGCAGGTTTCTGATGTAATCCTCAAAAACAGGTTCCAGGGGCGTCTTTTGAATTATGTTTCCAGTATCTTGTAAAATTTGCAAGTAGGTGGACAGAGCAGTATTTTTTCTCCCCAAGCACTCAACCTGAAACCCCATTGGGAAGATGAAAAAGCCATCAAAGACATTCTTCCGAGTACAGTGAGGCTAACCAGTTGAAAGCAATGATGCCTGCTGATACCAAAACTGTGCTAAACTGAACTACAATTCTGAACTTTTATCTTTCCTGAATCAGATCAGAACCTGAACTTAATTTGAAATTGTGTATTGGACCTAAATTGAATTCAGATTAATTGTTTAAAAAACATTCAGCTAATTTTTTAAAATAACTATGTGACTATACTCACTGGTCCCAACCTCTGTGAATCATGAGCACATAAAATTAACAGGCTGGGTTCAGACCATATGATTGGATCTCAGGTGTTCTTTCACTCACAGAGCAGCCTTTCATTCTCAGAAGTTCTTCCATGAGCGGAAGACTCCTTGAATGAGCTTAACTGCCTTTCTGTGAGCAAGAGTCTCTTTGGCTGTGGTCAGACGTGCCTTTAAATCCAACTCAGCTGTGAATGCCTGACGGATCTAAAGGGCATGATCAGACAGCAACATCTGGGAAAGTTCCTGCAGCCGTCAGTACCCTGTGTTGCCCTGCCACGGAAGCAGAGTTAAAAGACATCGGAAAAAGTCTGGTCCTAATGCTTGCCAATGGGCTATGGATGGAGTTTCCTATGTCTGATCGCTCAAGCATGCTCTCATGCTGTCGGGATGGTCTGCTTGTTCCATCCCAACTTGGTGCCATTTTTTCCCCTCACTTAGCAGTATGAGCATAACTGCATACTCCATGGGGAACCCTCAGTGTGGAGGTGTGATTCCTTGTTTATGCGCATGGGAAACAAAAGGGGGGGGGAACCCCTCTTGCCCAAACGTGCTGTCTGATCAGCCAGTGATGGGCTGAGCCCGCAGCTACAAAGGATGCTTGATTGTGCAATGCCATGTCAATTTCCACCGGGGGAAATAGGCTCGCTTCCCCTCCACACCAAATGGCACGTCTGACCGTGGCCTTTGTGTGAGATGAAAACTTCTTCCAAGAGCAGAAGGAAATCTCTGGGTGCAAACTAGAGTCTAGGCGGATTATTTCACATTTTTTATTTGTCTAATTTTTTGTACTTTGTTCTCTCAAAGCACTGGAGGTCAGCAGATGGGACAAAAAGCAACTCCTGTGAGTGCAAAGGGTGAAATCCACTTTATTTAAAAGGTACATATTAAAAATGCACTACATGTTTGCTATTGTGATCTGTTTATTTCTGTTTAATACATAGTTCATAATATATGTATTATGCCTGACACATTGAACCCGATCCAGTGCATGTTTCTGTAGAAGCCTCACTTCCGTCAGTGACTTCCAAATAACTGTATACGGGATTCCAGCCTTACTTGTAACAAGTTAGACCCACAGTGCCACGCTAAACTCAGCTATACTCTTCCAAATCAGTGAGCTTAGAAGGGTATAACCAGGGCTCTTTTTGTAGAAAAAGTCCAGCAGGAACTCATTAGCATAATAGACCACACCCAACAGCAGAAATTCATAAGCATATTAGGCCACACCCCTGACAACACAGCTCATTAGCATATTAGGCCACACCCCCATGTTGCCAGAAGTGTCGTCATCCAGCCACACCCACCTTTTGCTTGTTATTCTGTTTACCCTGTTTGTTGTCAAAACCCAGGGCTTTTCTTGTAGCAGGAACTTCTTTGCCTGTTAGGCCACACACCCCTAATGTAGCCAATTCCAATGAGTTTCTGCTGTTGGGTGTGGCCTACTATGCTAATGAGTTCCTGCTGGGCGTGGCCAACTCTGGAGCCAGCTGGAACTCAAAATAGCTCTGGGTATAACTCTGTTTAGGATTGCACTGCCATTCACTGGCTCCATTCAAATGAACCAAACCTGAACCAGTTTCTGACTGTGTGCTGAAATAAGCCTTCATTGCCTTGAACCACATGGGAATCTCTGAACAGCTGACTTGGAAATGAACCTACAAGATTATTAATTTGAATCTGTGTCTGTGGCACTAGTTGGGGGCAAACTGTTTCAGAGGACCAGTTCCCGATGTGATATAATGTTTTGATGCACATCAGAAGTGCGGGCCAGCATTGCCCTGACCTGGATAGCCCAGGCAAGCCCGATCTCATCAGATCTTGAAAGCTAAGCAGTGCCGACCCTGGCAAGTACTTGGAAGGGCAACCTCCAAGGAATACCAGAGGTGGGACGCAGAGGCAGGCTAATCAAGCCACCTCTCTGAAAAACATCCCAGCCCCCAGTAGGGTCACCAAGAACTTCCAAGCTTGCAAGCACACAGACACACACGACACTCACAAAGAAGCGTGGGCCAGCATATCCATCATGTAAATAAAGTCACAGATAAACAATGACTGACTGTACCATGAATTGTATTCATAAGGGAATGAAAAAAAAGGTAAAAGGTAAAGGTTCCCTTGCTCGAAAGCTCTAGGGTTGCGGTGCTCATTTCCGTTTCAAAGCCGAAGAGCCAGCGCTGTCTGAAGACGTTTCCGTGGTCATGTGGCCGGCATGACTAAACACCAAGGCGCACGGAACGCTGTTACCTTCCCACCGAAGTGGTACCAACACAATTGCAGGAGATATGCTACCATCCATCCACTACAAAGAAGCACCCCATTCTGAAGCTCCTGAAAAGTTATCCCAGGCGGTATAGTGGTTGGAGTGCCACACTAGGACTTGTGACTAATTTGTGCCCTGTGGCTTAGAGAGAGCTGCCATTATGAGCAAGTAGTTTAGATAAATTTATTACATTTATATAAAAACTCATAACCTAGGATATAAAGGGGCAACCCCATTCACGTTAAAAGGTGCGTCCAGTCAGATCAGTATCTATGTGTTGATTTAAAACATTTATTAGCTGCCTTTCTTCCTCACAGAGCTTCACAAACATAAAGCACATCAAATGAGAAGCATGCCCTGACCTGGATAGCCCAGGCAAGCCGGATCTCATCGGATCTCAGAAACTAAGCAGGGTCGACCCTGGCGAGTACTTGGAAGGGAGACCTCCAGCAAATACCAGAGTCGAGATGCAGAGGCAGGCAACAGCAAGCCACTTCTCTGAAACGTCCAAGCCCCATTAAGGGTCACCAGAAGTCAACTATGACTTCCAGGCTCACAAGCGTTCACACACACACACACACACAGACAGACAGAGAGAGAGAGAGAATACACACAAAAAATGAAAGGCATTAAAAACATAAAACCAAAATTTAAAATCCCTACTCAGAACAGCCACTAAACTTAACCAAACTCAGTCCTAAATAAAACCATCTCCAATTGTCTCCTGAAGATAGAAAGTGAGGGGCCCAGGCACACCTCCCTGGGAGGTTGTTCCATAAGCGTGTAACTGCCACTGAAAAGGTCCCCTCTTGTGTACCCAGCAAATGAGCTTCTTTGATTGATGGGACTGTCAGGAGGGCCTCTCCTTGTGATCTTAGTTTCCAGGCAGAAACATATGGAAGAAGATAGTTCTTCAGATAACCTGGTCCCAAGCCATGTCCAGTTTTGAAAGTCTAAACCAACACCTTGACTGGGCTCGGAAGTGGATTCGTACATTGTGTAATTGCTGCGATATCGAGGTCACACGCTCCCAATAGGTAGCCCTGGCCAGCAGTCTAGCTACAGCCTTCTGCACTAGCAGCAGCTTCTGACCTCTCTTCAAGGGTAACCCCAAATATGCCTTGTGTGATATGCACGCCCTGGTGTGTAAAGGCAATGCATGTGGAAGACAGTTTACACCTTCAGCTCTGTCTTGCTGGATCGGAGTCAATATGTGCAAAATTCTGTATGGTTGCATCACAGCTATAGAACTCCCTCTAGAGGCTCCTTAAGCATCATCATTTTATATCTCTAGACCACTTGTGAAGACCTTGAGTTAGCTTCAACCAGTTTTTCTGCTTGCTAGTAAAAAAAAGGAGGAGGCATCCTCTTTGACCACTCAAAAAGGCTATGCTGAGAATCATGGGACCTCCACAAAGAAAAGCCATGTGTGGTGGGGGTGGCAGTATAGAAGGGAACGGGATGTGACTGAGTGAAAAATCTAGCTGGATCCAACCCATTCCTCTTCCAACAAGCGTTTTATGAATAGCATGTTATGTGTCATTTTTATGTCTACACTCCACTATAGGACTTTGGTGACACATTCACTTGGTTGCTAAATTTTGTACTCCTGTTTTATTTTTAGTTATCATATATTTTTATTATGGCATTTGATTGTTGCATTTTAGCTTCAGGAATCTGTGATCTCTGTGAGAAACCTCTTTGGGCATGTTTTAATAAAAAGGAAGTACACAAATTATACATAAATTGCTCTTAAGTCCTGTGGATAAATATCCGCTTAAGCATGCAGTACCAAAAATTGAATTGAAATAAATACACAGATGGCATGACTTCCTTTCCTGACATCTCACCTTGTCTATGAAGGATACAAATTGGTTGTTGAGATGCTTGATCTGTTCCTTTTCTTGATGTTTCACTTGTTTCAAGTGTAGATCTAGATAAATATGGAACGGCTGGAGGAAAGCTGCATATATTTGGATGGGCTGGATTCCAGGGCCGCTAAAAGATCTGCCACCAAATCTGTCTCCATGTCCTCCACCAAAAGAGCCACCAAATTCTCCACCAAAGCTATAAGGTCCGGCTCCAAAGCCACAAAATTCTTTGCACAAGCCTCCACTTATATGCTGGCTGCCTCTACGACCTTCAGACAGATGGTAAAGACTCCCACTTCCAAAACTTAGCCTGCCTTCACTGAGGCTTCTGTAGCCCCTTAACATGGGGTTGAAGCATCTTTCACTGCTAATTCCACTGGTTCCAAAGCCAGCCACAGTCCTTGAACTGAAGTCTTGTCTTCTATCTCCCAGAGGTTTATTGCCAACTTGGAGAAACATCTTAGCAAGTCATTGATGGAGAGAAGGCACCAGGTAGTCTAGAAGAAGGCAAGTGTCAGGAAAGTAAACCTCTGGATTTGTGTCTTGAAACTCAGCTCTTTTATCTGCTCCAGAAGATGGGC